TTTTTTCTTAACATATCTTGCATTATTTGTCTCAGAGGTACAGAATAGGTCCTTCCCTTACCGTGTACCCTCCCGCACCGCTGCCGGCCTGTCCTGGGCCAGGCCAGTGGCTCTCCCTCCAACTGAGCCCCAATGCCACTGCTCTGCTCTCCCTTGGCTGCCATTCTCCACAGGGCAGCCTGAGAAACAGCGTGAAAACCTAAGTCAGATTTTGCCCCTCCCTGCCTACAACTCTCTGTGGCTCCCCACTGCCCTCAGGGTCAGTCCAGACCATCATGCCCAGGCGGTGGCCACTGCCTGTGTCCTGACCTCACCCTTCTTCTACCTTACACATTGCAGTGGCTCTAGTCACTGACCTAGTTAGAGTATCCCGGATGGGCCCGGCTGGCTCAAGGCTTTGCTCATGCAAGTCACTCTCGGGCGTGGCCACCCCGCCCACCCCACCCTTCTCACCTGCTCTCCCCGTCTCCCAGACATCCCGCCCCTGCCTTGCCCCATTGTTTGGTGACACAGGTGGGGCCCCAGAGGCAGGTTAGCTGGCTCCCCAAAGCCCAGCAAAGACAGCTGCCGAGAAGCTGCCTTCCGCAGCAGAACAGCCTCCTGGCCCTCCTCAGGCCGAGCCACAAGGGTCACGGGGCCCAAGACAAACTCCTAGGTGCTGCCCTCACCGCGCCAGCCACCCCCTCCTGCACCCCTCACCCCACATGCCCTTTCCGCCTATGTCCCATGTTCTCCAGCACCCCGAGCACGTCAGGCACCGTACTGTTCTGCGCGCCCATCTTTCGTCCTGTTGCCACCTTGCAGAGCAGGGACAGACGCTTCAGGAGAGGAAGGAGCTGCCCAGGATCCACAGGGGGCAAGAACTGGAGCCGGGCTCTGCATCTAGGCCGGCAGAGGGCTCTGTGGGCACAGCACCCTGAGCCAAAAAAGCCTGAGCTCCCTGGAGGCTCTCTTCCAGCTCCCTCCCCAGCTCAGATTCCAGGCAAGGCAGATGTTCCTAAGGCCCTGCTCACCGATTTCCTGAGCCTCTGGGGTGACAACGCCGGGAGGGGGTGATAACCAAGGCAACAGCAGACCAGCGGGGGAGGAGGCCCATGGCTGGGGACCCACAGCCCCTGCCTGCCAGCGCCTTGGACCAGCCTCTGAGCAATGGCTGCTCACCAGCTCAGCCACCCACCCACCAGGCTCACCACAAGCATAGGTCACAAGGGGGCGGCTCGGGGGGGGGGCTCTGCTCTGGCCCCTGGCTTGGCTCCCTGCCCGCCCCTCTGGGCAGGGTGTAGGGGGGCAACTGGAAACTCAGCTGGTGAGTAGCTGTTGTTTATTGAGAGACCAGGTGAAGGGCGGGAGCCTGCAGCAACAAATCACTACAGCACAGTCCGGGGGTGGGGCTGGCAGAAAGCTCCAGGGCTACAAGGCTACACAGGCCGGGGCCAGGAGGAGGCCTGGCAGGTGCACAGGCCCGGGGCTAGCTGGCTACGAGGACGGGGGGGAGGGGCAGTGGGGCACTGGTCCGGGGCCAGCTCCAGGCCTCAGAGCCTGACTGGTCAAAGCTGGTGCCACCCATGCTGAGAGTGGGCCTCATCCCCCTGGGTGGTGGTCTCACTGAGCCCGTGGCACTCAGGCTTCAAGGCTCGGGCCATCGGGTGGCACATACATGGGCTCGATGCGGGCCCAGCTTCGGGCCTGCTCGTCAGCCCAGCCAAGCAGCTCAGCAGCGCGGTGCAGGAAGACCATGAGCAGGGTGTGGACATCACCCTCGGCTGAGTGGGCTGCACTTGGCTCGGCCTGGAAGTAGCGGCGGAAGAGGCTGCCCAGGCTGTAACCCTTGCAGCCCTGGGCCCGGGTGCCATGGCTGTGGGCACGGTCCAGGCTCCGCAGCGCAGGCAGTGTATCCAGGCAGACGGTGTCCGGGGGCAGGTGGGCGCCCAGGCGCCGCAGCTCTGTGCACAGCAGGGGGAAGTCATAATCAAAGCCGTTGTGGGCCACAAGGCAGATGGGGCCCTCCTGGCGGCTCAAGAAGGCCTGCAGCGTCCGCACCACGGCGTCGTCGAAGCCGGCCTTCCGGCACCGCGCCAGGCTGTCGCTGCTCAGGCCGGTGATCTCGCTGGCCTTGGCGGTGAAAGGGCGCTCTGGACGCATGCACAGCGTGAGCTTGTCCAGGACCCGGGGCAGCACAGGGGCACCAGCCTCGTCTCGGTCTGGGTTCTCCAGGGCGGAGCGGTGCACCGCAAACAGGGATATCTCAGCCACCTCGGGATCTATACTGGGGAGCCCAGTGGCTTCCAGATCCAGGAAGACGAAAGTCTCGGCCCGGGGTGCCTCGGACATGGTGATGTGCTCACGGGGACAGCAAAGCCTAAAGCTGCCAGGGCAAGAGGCACAAAACCTGAGGGCCAAAGTGATGGGGATGCCTGGGCCCAGCCACATACAGCCGACTCCGTGGCCAGTGCTCCAACCCCTTTGTTCAGGGTGAGGCCTCCCGGGGCCTCGACACCCTCTCCATTCTGTGCCCCAGTCCCGCCCTGGCCATTGTCACTACTACCAACTAGTAAACAGCAAAAGGTAGGGCTGGTCTGCCCCGATCCCGGCCCGGAGGCCTCTGCCACCTGCCTCCAGGTACCTGACAGGCAAAGTGCACCGGGTCCGTGTCACCAGGGACCTGGGGAGGTGCCAGCCTAGAATGGTGTCTTCACTGAGACACCCTGGCTGGGAGCCTGCACCCCTAGGGTCATCTGTCGGGAAGCAGGCAGCCAAGCATCCTTGGTTTGGCCTCCTCTGGCCTCCCTGGCACACAGGTGCCTTCCCCAACCTGGCCACCTGCCTCTGGGCTCCTGGCAGCTGTCCTCACCAACCCTGCTGCGCTGGCTTACCTGGGGCGGGTGCTGGCCGGCTTCCTGGGCTGCTGGGCACCTGTCTCCACACAGGCTGCTGCAGGCGGCCTTTAATCAGTGGCCATGGCCCGCCCCCAGCCGCCTGTTGGGCAACGAGGCGGCCTAAGGCCGCACGACCTGTGCAGCCGGCTTGCCAGCCCCTCGCTCACTCACAGCTGCTGAGACACACGCCCTGTGTTTACAAGTTGGAAAGCAGGCTCCTAGGCCACACGCAGGCTCCCCACAAGCTGGGCCGTGGGCTGGAGGAACGTGTCATCACAGGCACGAGGAAGAAGTGTGAGCCTTCCACCCAGCCTGGCCTCCAAGTCTGACCCGGGCCAGGATTTAGCAGCTGAGCTGGGGCGACTCCCAGCAAGGCGGCAAGCCCCCTTCTCCAGGGCAGAGCTCCACCTGTGTCACGAGGGACCAGGTTGCCCCTCATGAGGCTAAAGTGAGCTCGGGAGTGGGCAAGAGGTGACTGCACGTGCCGTGCTTAGCCAAGAAAGGGAAGGCCGCACTCAGGACGGGACCTCGGTTCGCCCCAGTGACCTCGGGCACTTTCCATGCTGCCGGGCTCACATCTCACAGGCTAGTCTTCCGGCAAGAAGGGGAGATGGTGTACGTTTTACGGGCACAATGACCCATAATATCTAAGAGGCCTTTAGCAGAGGCTGCCAGGAAGGAGGAAGAGGGGCGAGGCCTGACCTGGCAAGCCACGTGGGCTCCAGCTGAACCAATCCTGTCCCACCACATGAGGAAGGATGAGCCACAGGGAAGGTGGGGGTACGAGACCGCCTCAGCAGTACCCCCAGCCCCAGGACCCCTCAGAGCAAAGACAAGAAGGCCCTCCCTGGCCAGAAAGCGGGCAGCATTGTCCCGAAGACCTCGTTCCGGAGCGAGACATGCCAGCCCTTGGCAGTCGGTGCCCACAGGCCAGGGGCACAGGGAGGCAGCCGAGATGCTGGTTGCGGCCTGCCCACTGCAGGCCCTCCCTAGTCCCTTGGAGGGTGAAGCTATTGATGCAGCTGGGCAGCAGTGGCCCTGGGCCTGCCCGTCCTCTCCCCTCCCCCACCGGCAGTCTCCTTGTCTGGAGCACCCACAGGGGACTTGAGGAGGTGACGGCACGGGAGCAGGTGAGGCTCACAGCCAGGGTGGGCCTCTGCAGTGGACCAAGTGTTGAGAGGGAGGCCCCTCCTCGAGTCCCCTTTGGCCTGCCACTGGGCTGAGGGAGGCAGAGGCCCCACCAGTCATGCCTGTTCCCAAGTGCGGAGGGAGGGAGGTGGCTGTGACAGGCCGGTGCAGGGAGCCCTGGGGAGGAAGGAGGAGGAAACACACGCCCTGGCCACTGGATCCTGGATGTGGTGGGCGCCAGCGGCCAGGCCGAGGGTGTGGGAGGAGTCCGCACGGGGGACCCCAAGGCCAGTCACAACGGAGGCAGCAGATTTCTGGGGCTTAGCATCGCCCCTGGGCAGGGAAGGAACAGAAGCCAACGGGAGCTGCTGCGAGGCAGACAGGGCAGAAGAGGGGCATGGCTGGGGCCGCCTGGGACAGCGGGAGGAAGGGCAGACCGAGCAGCAGGTGCCATGGCCCCCTCAGGTGCAGCGAGGAAGCAAAGAGAAGGAGGCAGTCATGAGGCAGCTTCTTAGAACCCCAGCTTTCCTTTCTCTCCAGCTCACCTCTGCCCTCTCCCTCCTTCTCTCCCAAGCCGCTGAAGGGGCTGGGCCCGGAGCACATGGGGGCTGTGAACGCTTCTCCCACCCGTGGCTCACCCTGCGCCCCCCACCCCCGGCCACTTGACTCTTCAGGGCAGAGCTTCCTGCTCACAGACTACTCCGTGCCTTTCTGCAGACTGTCACGGAAGATCTTGTATTTCTGAGTTAGTTCTTCCACTTTGGTGGCTGCAGAGAAAAAAACAATACAAACAGCAAAGTGACTCCCAGCGCTTCCCGGCCTGGAAGAGGCTGCTCCCTACCTGCCCCCGCCCCCAACCCCAGCCAAGCCTTCACTGTCTTTCGCTGGTTCTTCTCAGGCCCCAGGCGTCCCTGCACCCTCAAAGGGCTTGCAGCCTAGGCATCCAACTCCCACCGTGATCCAGAAACTGCCAAGCCAGGAGCTACCAGGAGGTCTAGGGCTGAGAGCACAGATGGAAGGCCCCTGTGGGTGCCAGGCTGAGCCCCAGGCCAGGTTCCACTCAGTGGGCATTGTCCATGCCCACCCCAACCCTCACCAGAGCCCAGGAGCCAGGGGTTCTCCTGAGTTGGATGGTGTGTTCCCTACTGCTCAGACCAGTAGCCCAGGCACACATACAAATCAAATGACACGGGCCTTAGCTGCACAACCCGCCCCCGCCTGCCCCCCGCCCCACCGGCCCTGCAGGCAACTGCTCTGCCCTGCTGTTGGGCTTTCAGGGCTGGGGGCACCGCCATAATTCGCACCTGCCTCTTGACGTCCCAATTTCACATAATGAGCACTGGGCACGAAATACAGGGCCTTTAGCTCACTCCCCTCCCCCACCCTGGGGACTCTGGGCTCTTCCCTCAGGTTCCCCTGGTTAGTGGTGCCTTCACTTAAATACACAACTATTCCTTCCTCCACCAACCTGCCTCTCGGCCTCTGGCCTGTCCCCTCCCCTCCCACATGGCACGGTCTTTAATTGACATTTGGTCCCGCCTGTCCAGAGGTGACTCTGAGGCTCAGGAATCATGGGGTGTGCCTCAGGGCGATAAGCCCGGCCCCAACGACCCTCCCCACTCGTCATCAGGCCCTCTCCATGCACACAATGGCACAGCTCAGGACACAGGCCCAGCAGGCACACCCAGCCCCTCACTCAAGCCCCTCCCTTCCGATGTGGGGATGTGCGACCAACACAGCCTGGCTACTGACACACAGAATGGTGGCCTAGCTTCCTGTCCTGGGAAGGGAAGTGCCACAGACATGCAGACCTCCCACAGCTGCAGGGCCTGAAGGCCTTGGGTTTGGTCGGGTGAGACACAGGGAAGGTGGGGAGGCCGTTCTGATTGGCCCTGGCATGGAGTTGGCATGGCCTGCTGCTTTGGTGTGTCTGTGTTGTTTGAGAACTCATCTCAAACAACATCTGGAGGTGCCATGCTTGCCCTCACCACTCTCCAGACCCACTGAGGGGGCCAGGATCTCAAGGGCGAGCCTGTGAAGCATCCCACGGGAGGAGGGGGAGGGAGAGGTTCTCACAGCTCAGACGTCACCGTTAGCCCTGCCAGCAGTCCTGTAATCACAGGTGCGGCGGCACATGGCAAAGGACACTAATGACCCTTATTCTATTAATGATAGCATTTTATTAACAGCAATTAGGTACAGTGGGGGGGGAGCCATAGTGACAGTGGTGACTAGGATAAATGCTACGACAAATTTTAAAATGGATGACTTTGGGGCAGGTCAGTCAGGAAGAAGAGACTCCCAAGTGCCTGGTATACACGTGGCAAATATGTGTGCCAAGGCCAAGAGCAGCAAGAAGGCTGCTGGAGAGGGCTGGCTGGAAAGTCCACACAAAGGGGGCGCTCAGAGGCTCTGTGAGCTAAAGCCACTCCTTGGGGGTGCCCTGGGGGGAAACATTTACAGGCAAACGCTTTCATTGCTATTGCTGGCTCTTGGGAGAAGCTGGGGAGTGGGATGTCCACAAGGGCTCTGAGGAGTTCTGGCAGTCCTGGCGCTCTACAAGGCCACGTGCACGCCCAGGGCTGTGCCAATACCCCGGAGAGAGCCGACAAGGACCTCAACAGTCACCTCTGGCTGACCCCGAGGCTCAGAGCAGGCAGGAAGTGAAAGAGAAGTGAAGTGAAGGTCAAGTGTCTGGTGAGTGTTGATGAGAAATGAGGCTACCTATCCAAGAAGCTCAACAAACTCCAAAAGGGATAAAGTCAAAGCAATCCACACCAAGACTGATTATAACCTGACTGTCCAGAGCCAAAGACCAAGAGGATCTCGAGACCAAGAGGAGAAGAGGGGCTGTGAAAGGGTCTCCGTGACATCAGCAGCTGGTTTCACATCACAAGCTATGGAGGCCCGCAAAGCCGAACACATTCACTACCTGGCTCTTTACAAAACAGGTTTGCCAACGACAGCTACAGGGCAATGGAAATGAACAAATGACAGATACACACATGGTAGATGAATTTCACAGAGACACCATTACCATCAAGTCAGGACAGCAGCTGGCTGTCGGCGGGAAGAGACACGTGGGGCTTTCCAGGGTGCTAGCATGTTCTATTTCTTGACCTGGGTCATGGTTACACAAGTATTCACTTTAAAATCACTTGACTTGGAATAAAGGGGGTTGGCCAGAGCACAGGGAAAATATCCAACTATTTCCTATTCCTATTCTACTCCCTCTGAATTGAGGTTCCTCACTAAGCACTATTTTTCTTATAAAAAAAGACCTTTTCTGGGGCGCCTGGGTGGCTCAGTCGTTAAGTGTCTGCCTTCGGCTCAGGTCATGATCCCAGGATCCTGGGATCAAGTCCTGCCTCAGGCTCCTTGCTCAGCAGAGAGCCTGCTTCTCCCTCTGCCTGCTACTCCCCCTGCTTGTACGCTCTCTCTCTCTCTCTTTCTCTTGCAAATAAAATCTTTTTAAAAAGACCTTTTCTGAATACATATTTCCATAATACAACAATAAATTTCCTCAGAAAGAAAGTTTAATTGAAACTAAATGCAGATCCAATCTGCCACATCCAATAACAGAAATGTCAGAAGGATCTGATCTGGCACTGATGAGGATACAGTAAGCAAACGGGGATGGGCCTCACCACCATGACGCCAGGAGCCCCGTCATCAGGACGCAATCTAAGATGGGAACGCGCTTTATGTCTCAACATGTTTCCTGCATCTTTTGGCCAGCTTGCCAGTGGAAGAGGGGTGGATTACCTAAGTGACCCAGGTTCTGAAGACTACAGAGCAGGATAGAGAAACAGTAAATGAACGATACCACCTCTGACTCCGACACAGAGAAAATCAGTGTCCACACCCTGGCTCACTTCCCACAAGGGGTTCTTGTATACGTTTGCCCTTTACAAAGGTGAGATCAGCCTGCAGTTTCCCTTTAACATTCTGTAATGTGCAGTTCTTTATGTCGTTGTAACCAACTTTTGAAACAATGAACACTATCCCACCATATACATATACCATTATTTACCAAAGCACTACCCAATGTTAAAACTTTGGATTGTTTCCATTTTCCACTATTTTAAATCTTGCAACAGCATCATATATAATAGTAAAAAGCCAAAAATGACTTATAGGCTGGATAATAGAAAATGTTAAGCAAATTATAGCAAATACCTGAACAGAAGGGTGTTTGACAATTAAAAATGTTACTTCCAAAACATGGGAAAATGCTTATAACATTTTTTTAAGTAATCTCTACATCCAACGTGGGGCTTGAACTCACAACCCCGAGATCAAGAGTCGCATGCTCTCTCTACTGACTAAGCCAGCCAGGCACCCCAGGAAAATGCTTATCATGTGATCACAGGGAAAGAACATAATGTAAAAGTGTATATGTGTTCTGATTACACTTACACAAAGAAATAAAAAATGATGAAAGGAAAAAAATATAGATAAATAGACCAAAATATTAACATCAACCATCTCTGGGCCACCAGGTTATGGACTGTTTTTATTATACCTCTGCACATCTTTGGGTTATCCCAAATTCCCAAAATTAATATTTTTATTTTATAATCTGTAGAAAGCATTTTTTTTCAAGGGAAGAAAAACCTTATGCATCAGAAGAAGAAGAAAGTGAGCGACGATCCCCAAATACTCCCCAAATGCTGGTCAAGCAAGAAGGAGCCACATGTGAGGCAGGCACTAGGCCGAGGTGCACAGGGACAGGCCTGCCTATGACCACTGAGCAGGCAGGCACAGCGCCAGCGAGTGGCAACCACATACCTACACTCATGACAGAGTTGCTGCTGCCCCAACAGATCTGCTCGCCCTGCTGCTGCTTCGCCATCTCCACGGCTTGGGCCGAGGTGTCAGTGACCTCCATGACCGCTTTCAACAGCTAGGAGGGATGGAGAGAGAGAGGCACATAGGCATTAAATGCTGGTGGTCTGATCTGCAGAAGCTGCCTCCTGCTTCCCACCCCAGTTCACATTCAGCATGTGCTCTTCCCTAGACCCTCAAGCATGTGGCATTCACCCCCAAGGACAGCCCAGGGTGAGGACGGGAGTGCCGGCCAGCTGGAGAGTCACCGATCAGAGCTCTCCATGCTAAGTCCCTTCTTCCAGGCCCAGTGGGAATGCCACACAATTATGTGCCCCATCCCACACTAGTAGCCAAGCAAAGCCACAGGTGCAGTGGGAAAATCAATGTCCCGAGATTTTTTAAAAAGGGGGCAGGGCCTTCCTGATGAGAAAGGACCGTACCCTATCTTGCCCTGCTGGCAGAACGACAAAGGACAGGTTGGTCAGAGGTTTGGAAGTCTAGGAGTCTTTGTGTTAAAAAACCAAGACGGTGCTTGCTTCAGCAGCACTTAAACTAAAAT